GAGAGAGAGAGAGAGAGAGAGAGAGAGAGAGAGAGAGAGAGAGAGAGAGAGAGAGAGAGAGAGAGAGAGAGAGTACACCCTTGTCGAACACTCGAACACCTGAAATATTGCACACACTCGTGACCGCACAATGCAGAATTAATCATGATATGCATAGCGTGTGCATCGAACAGTTGCATTCAACGCTGTCCACTACCAATATCTGTATCATCGCTGTCCACCATGGTGTCTGGTGCGCAGTCAAACCATGTTTGAGAATGAAGTATTTTCTCTCCTGTTGATAGTGTCGGGTGCAATGTAGCACCAGAACCACTGGCTACAGCCCCGTGCAGGAGGCAACTAAGGTCCAAGCCCCACGTAAGTGATGTTGCGAGGACAGCCTCTCTGTTGACCAAGACAAACCATGACTTCCCCATTCGTGACCATCTTTTTCCATTAGTGCGCCCTCAGGTGTTGCTTCCTTCAGCACGACACGCAACAGTAAATTGGGATTAGAGAATACACGTGTCAACCTTAGAATCGCATGTGCCCACCCTTTTGACGCTTGTCCTCCCCCTGCTTCCATATCCAAGTAGGCATCATATTCCTCACCCTCCTCGTCGCTGCTCACATCGCTGCCACTCACTTCCACCTCATTGTCAGGCGCCCTCGCATCTTTTTCATTGTTGATCACTCTTGTTTCTTCGATCTCATATTCGAAATCGATCGGTAAAGAAGAGTCTTCGAACCCTCGTTCCCATTGTTGTTCTGTCATTGTCCACTCATTGAACACATCTTCTTCATCTACCTCCTCCGTCGACATTGTGTTTATTGGAGAACGCACGATGGAGGCTGTTCTCACAATTTCTTCGCCTGCTGAAGCGTGTCCATCTGCTGCATGAAGTGCAACATTTGCTTCCCTGGCCACCAACTTCCATCCTTCTTCCCTTGACCTATTTCTGTCCACCTCAGAAGTCGCAATGCTGAGGCGATGCAAAGCTGCCATGAACATTCCATCCCACAATGGAGTACCACATACGACATCATCGTCCACACTCTGCACCCTGTACGTAATGAGATCCTTGCCCGCCAGTGCTTACCTTGTCACATCATGCAATGCCTCATGTATGACATTCCAATCGTCAGGTTTCTTTTTCATGAAATCTACCAGTTGGTCAAGTAAAACATACTCCACCCCGTTTGCAATAATTACTGGAAGTTTTTGGAAGTCTTGCGGGGGAGCTTGTGGTATGTCCTTCAAACGCGAGAGTACTAAAATTTATGTTGCACTGCTCTTCATCTCGTCCTTAGAACCTTCAACAAACATTTTCCATTTCTTCGCCTGTGTCATCAGCATCTGCTTGAAATCGGTTGGCACGTATGTTCCACCCTTCTGCTGCTTTGTCATATCCACGTCGCCTTCATCGGACATCCCTTTTGTGCACATCCAACCAACCACTTTTCTCAAACTGTATGCACTGCTATCAGCAGTGTTGTCTACACGCAAATCATGCGCCTCAGTGAATCGTGCCAATAGCATCCGTGCTCTGAGCGACTCCTCTCCGTTCGCAGCGATGTTTGCACGAATGTTCACTCTGACATCGAAGTAACTCGACACTCTCTCCGTGAGTAGTCGGAGCTCCCTCTCGTCATTGTAGTGGATGCCCTCCTCCGCGTATTGCATCACCTCTTTAAGAGCTGTCCTCGCCTGCGCCGCTGACATCGACATGATGGTTGTGCTTTTGTGTATGTGTCTGTAAGTAGAACGGCAAAACGATGATTTTAAGCTCCGTGAGGGTTTGTTTAATGTTGTATGTATGTCCCTCTGCTCGAAGTATGCGGTCGTTCAACGTTGCCAGTCAGTACACGGACAGCATACGAGGGTTGGCGAGTGGGTGCCATTTTTTATTCGATTCATTGACATCGAATTAATCTGGCACGTTGTAGTCAACTCCTCTGACACCCCCATTTATCACCTTCATGTGAAGCATTGTACATATCACAGGGCCACAAACCATTCATTCATAAAGCCATGGAGGGCAGAGTACAACTTACCTAAGACGGAATAGTCCTCCGCCAACATCGTGTGTGTGTGTGTGTGTGTGTGTGTGTGTGTGTGTGTGTGTGTGTGTGTGTGTGTGTGTGTGTTTGTGTTTGTGTGTGT